ACTGACTTATTAAAAGTGTGCAATGACCAAGAATTAATGAATCAAAAAGTGTAGGTCAGGATTCAATGGCTATAGACAGAACACAGAATGGACAAGGGAAAACTCAGCGAGCGGCCATTTAAACAAATGACAGAGCAAACGCATGTTGGCAAAGACATGGAGAAAGTGGAAACCTCGTGTACCGTCGGCAAGGATGCAGAATGGTATAACCACTGTGGAAGACAATATGAAGTTTCCTCGAAAAATGAAACAGCATTACCACGTGACCCACCGATCCTAATTCTGGATATTTACTGAAAAGAATTGAAATCAGGAGCTTGAAGAGATATTTTCACTCCCATGGTCACTGGAGTAGTGTTCACAATCATCAAGATGCAGAAACAACCTAAATGTCTGTCAAAGGATGAATGTGTGTTAAAAACATGGTATAGACATACAAATGGAATATGATTCAGCCCTGAAAAAAAGAAGACATGCAACAACATGGATACGCCTGGAGGACATTACACTCAGTAAAATAAGCCGGTCACAGAAAGAATACCATGTGACTCCACTTAGATGAGGGCTCTGAAGTCATTACTCGTGGATGCAGAGCATAGGGCAGTAGTGGCCGGGGGCTGGGGAGGAGGAAACAGCGACTTGCTATTCAGTGGGCATAAAGTTTAAGTCACCCATGATGAATAAGTTCCGGAGATCCGTTGTACAACATTGTGTCTACTGTATAGTTAACCATACTGTGCTGTGCACTTATAAAACTGTGTTAAGATGGTAGATCTCAAATTAAATATTCTTGCCACAATGTAAACACGCGCGCACGCACACACACACACGCCTAGACTGGGCATAAGGTAGGGGGAAAAAAATAAAACAAATGTGCTTGGAATGACTGAAATCCTATCAGGGAAGAAGCATTGCCATGGCAACGGAAGAGCTTTCCGTCTGAACTTTCCATGTTAATCCTGGGAGAAGAGGACACCACTTAAAGGGAAGACACTTGCTTGCCAACTGACTGTAACACAGTGGTAGATTCCCCGCGTGTTACTCTGAGCACCAGCATCTCAGACGCAAAGCTAATTTTCAGCTGCGGGGACACGGGTTAGCTCTTTCTATTGAGAGTGAGCTAGCTGGTAATCACATTAAGCAGTTCTTAGCTCTTGTATTCCTGAAGGTCACTAAAGAGTTTATATCCCCATCCCAGAGACTAGGGGGAAAAAGAAAAAGCGAGAGGCAGAGATGGAAAGGGATAAAAACCAACAAAAACCATGATTGAAAGATGTGATGCTAGGGAGAGACTGTCACCTACCCCATATGGCTCTTCAGAGGACTACGTAATTATTTGTAAAGCTCCCAGCACTGCCTGGAACATAGGACATATTCAACACATGCTAACCATTGCTATAATTACTGTTATCTTTTTAGAGGCATTTGTGTGGCTTAATCCATACCACCCTTCAATCTCACACTATTCTGCTTCACCCCACAAACTATAAGCAACGAATGCAAATACAAAAAATCATCATCATCATCATCAAAGTGTTTTTAATGCATCGTAAGAAAATCCAATTACAGCACAGCTAGGTGTGAGCTCCAAACTGAACGGGGTTTATTAAGTATCCGATACAGCAAATGCCCCATAAATAAGTGTTGCATCCAATCAGAGGAAGGACCAATCATGAACGATACCCAATTTCCGTTCTGGAGGCTTTGTGGCTATTTTAATCTTTCCTTTTGCAGTCTGAGAAGGAACTCCCTTCCATAATCCTGAGGCTATCATTCTGAATCACCTCTTAAAAACATTATCTGCAGTGAGATGACAACATTCCATATGGGTGGCCACTGCAGCAACACTGTCTCCTCTAAACCATTATCACAGTGCAAGGCTTTTGAGAAGCAGCCCGTGATGGCAAATCCTCAGGGCAGGACCAGGTCACACAACCAGGGCCGTTCTGAGGAGCAGCCACCGTTGCACACCCCATGACAACAACACAGCCCATGTCTTAGGATGTGCATACCCAAGATCCTGGCCTGCTGCAGGAACCCTTTGGTCTTCAACAATTTTATAAAACATTGTTGCATCACAAATTGAACATGTCTAATCTGAGTTGACACTAACAGACGCTGTGTGGTCCATGCCTTGTGCTGCCTGAGAAGGGGAGAGGGAAGCGGGTTAGCTGAGGTATCTGGGTTTCTTTTTCCTCTTATTTCCTCCAGATACTTTTAACTGCTGTCCTCCATGGTGAGAAGAGGTCATGGTGATGCTTTTTTTTTTTTAATGTTTAATAGCATAAGATTCTTGAATTAATTTCTTAACAACGAGAAGGGGAGCAAAGCATATGCAAATGTACTGGAACCTGTCTCAGTAGAAGCAAAACCCAGGGGGACCGTGTCCACATCTCTGAAATTTAGAAGAGAAATTGAGAATGACTATAAGCAGGGAACGCGTTCCACCATGTAGATGGGCTGGACACACTAATGTCACATGACACGTGCCGCCACCACCACCGCCCCGCCTGGTCACAGCAGGTCACAGCAACATGACAGGCCACAAGAGTCAGTTTCTCCATACAAAGCGACCGATAAAGAGTAAAAACAATCTGGCAAAGATGCAAATAAGGAAAACTCTTAGAAAGTTCTAAGAAATCAACACACGATGATCTAGTCTTTTCACCTTGATAATCATGTAAACAGCTATGGTGTCTGCATATTGGTTTGAATGCAAATACTTAAAAAAAAAAGACGACTTCTGAGATGAATAAATAAACCCTTTAAACTCAGTAGGTTATCACTGTTGTGGATGTTTAACTGTCTGTATTTCAATAGGCAGATAATTTGTGGAAAACGTTTCTAAAGGAAGTCCCTAATATTCTATGTTCTCTTGTTGTTATCAGGTAAAATAATACAAATCTATTTCCTCTCGTGATTATTTAAAATGCTGTAGTAAAACTTCTCCCAATCAGTGTTAACTAACAGAAGAATAAAAACTTGTATTAAAGCAGAGTGTTTCAAGCAACATTGTGTGTGCCATGTGGGTACCAAAGTCAGGCTGTCTTTGTGCTTAGCTATTAAACCCACTGATAAATTCTGGCCCAACAATTGATTTGGCCTTTTCCTCCCTAATTTGAGCAGCTCTTTGACCAAAGAAAATCAACTAACCAAGTACCTTAGAATCATGCATACCCAGGAAAGGTGTTATCAGACCCTAATCCCTTGAAAAGTCCGAAAATATGGGCCTGTGTAATCTTCCCAAGGTCATTTGATAGCACATGGATCAAAACTGGAATGTGAAGCTAGGAGAATTCTAAAAAACAACCTCCAGGAACACAAACGAAGGAAAGTAGCCCTTGGCACAAGAAAGTAATGATGATCTCTTTTCTACGCTTGAAGAAGGTTGACAATCTACTGCTCTCCTCCCACTCCGGTGACTTCCCGTCCAGTGACAGAGGCCATTTAATTCATTGCCTGAATCCTTCATTTGATGGATGAGGGTGCAGTTCTTAAAGACACAGGGTAAAAAAAAAATGCATGGAAAATAATTTGAAATGAAAATATTTGAAATATTTTTATAACTGGTTAACTGGCAGGACAGGAGAAATTAAACTTTGCTAACATTTTCCTTTACTTACGACGCAAACACATGGCACAGGGGTGTAAGTGCAGGAAAAAAAATTGTAGCTTCTCCTCATGTCTAAGAAATAGATTGTCTTTACTATTACAATATTCTCATCAGTTTTTTGGGTACTCTGAACTCTCCTGCTCAGTTGAACAAACGAACACACATAACTTGGAACAAACATAACTTTACCATGGATTCATGCAAAGGAGAATATAACCCTTGCAGGAAAACCCACCAGGAGGAAATAAAGATCCTTTGTTTTACAGCCAGGAATAAAATTTATGTTTTCTCCATTCACCCAGGGAAAATGAATGTATTTCGAGACTAAATAGTACTATCAGCATGAAATCCAATTTAAATCCCTTTTTAAGACAGAAATAATTTCTAAAATACCTCCAGAGCTACAGTGATGCCTTTTGTCCATTAGTCTGCACACATTTGAATGCAGGAGCACTTGTGAGTGTGAGACGCTTGTGTGAATTCCTGGTGGTGCATTCAGGATGCTTAAGGCTATATCTGCATGTAGGGCCTCATTGATACACACAAGGAAATTAAATATTAAAACATTGCTTTGCAATAACATCAAGGATCTGAGACAATGAACAGAGGAGTTCCGCGAATCTCTCCCACCTCTGCTAGCTGAACCACTGCAAATTTAAAATGGGGAATGGCCTACTTTCTCGACTGGCTCCAATGTGTTTCCCTTTGATGCCCGTTTATTTTGTTACTTTCTTCATATCGTTAAAATAAGTTTTCACATATTTAACTTGCAGCTTTCTTTCCTCTACAAAATGGAAAACAAACTTAAAAAAGCATGTAATCACAGTTCATGACGTAAGCGATCTCTCTGGAAAATGAGAGAGTTATACAGAAGTGTGCATGTCATTTACATATGTGTAGTTTCACTTGAAGATGCATAATCATCCTGATACAATGAATCCTCTCCTAAGAGAAGCTCTGGTCTTTTGATTAAATACACTGAAGTGCATTCCAAAAAGGATATGAATTTAATCATCAGACACTAGTAGCAATCTAGGAACAGCTTCGGTTTATCATTCAAACTATCTAGGCATATCATAACCCTTTCTGAAATAAGTGTTTCGTCTGAAAATCAGAAAACATACATATAAGCAAACCACTGTTCAAAAACAGAAATCTTGGCATTAAGTGTTCACAATACATGAGCCCGCCAATGTCCTATTCTGAACACACCTGTCTCAGTCATAAGGCTGTAAAGCAAAAGTCAAATGATATGAAAAACTCTATCTTTCATTTTACAACCAAGGTAAAAAAATCTCTGAAAAAACCAGGCTTGGGGAGAGAAACAGACTCTTATCCAAGACAAGGCAGAGCTATTTCTCTGGAATGTCAACACAATGGATTTTTTTTTTTTTTTTTTTTTTGAGAACCAGAGAACCCATATATAAAACAAAACCAGAATTGCTTCCCATCACAGCACATAAAAGAACATCAATATTTTAGGGGCAGTCGTCATGTCTAGCTATAAGACCAGATTGTACATTCCAGGCTATTGACAGATAATAAACTGTTAACAGCTGGATCAAGTGTAAAATAGGCATTATCTTCACGCGAGACGGTTTCAGTTTACAAATACTAAAATGCTGTAACTGTTGGCATTTAGGCAAATCTTTCCCTGACCCCGATTTCTGCACTGGGTTGGGTGGGGGTGGGGGAAGTAAAAGCTCCCTGCTCCCCTGAGCTTTGTATCTCTCCCCAAACACATGGTCTCAACCGACCAAACCAACACTCTCTCTTATTTTCCGAGGGGTGGGTATTTACCTAACTCATACACCTAGCAACTAAACGTAGTGGGGCTTCCTGCCCATCAAGGATCCCCGTGCTCAGCAGGTGAATACCTGGCTCTTTCAGCTTTGCGGGTGTTTTCCACACAGTGATATAGCAAAGGGTTTTTTGTTTTCCTGGAAAGAAAAAGGAAAGGAAGGAAGGGTATCCTGGAAGAGAAGAGCATCTCTGGTTCTTCAGTGGTTCCTGCAGGCCGTTGGGTTCAGCCCAAAATCCTGGCGTGACTCTTAGGTTTGGTTAAGTCCTATTTTCTGCAAAGGCAAGTAAAGGTGACTTCCAAGTGTTCAGTGCGTTAAAGAAAAAAAAGAAAAAAGATTTGTAAAAAGGTAAAAAAAGAAAAAAAAAAGTGCTTGGAGATGATTCTCAGGGACTGATCTTGAGAGAAGGACCCCAAGTGACGATATCCTTCTCTTGGAACACCCTGCCCGGGGCACAGAAACTTCCGGCCCAGCCTCCGAGCAAGGGCGGTCCTACAAGACTTTCTTGAGGGGAAGCAACACGAACGTCAGTGGTTTCCGGGGAGAAACGTTGTATTCCTTGACCTGAGGCCCGTCCACCCTGGCCGGGGAGACCTCACAATTTTTTGGCACTGTCGTGGCACGCGGCTGCCCTGATGGTGGTCCCAGCCAGGCCCCGGCCGCTGACCCTGCGGACCAGCACTTTGGACACCGGGATTTTTGTTCTGGGCATCTCGCTCCTGGCGGGCTGCTGGTGCGCAACCGGGTGGCTGGACGGAAGGTTTGCCAGATGCTTGATGCTGATGGGGATCTTGGAGTCCTTCAGCAAACTGCCCGGCGTGCGCAGCGGGCAGGTGATGGTGCCCGGAGACACGGGCTTCAGCCGGGACAGGCAGGCG